GAGGGTGGGATGTTTCAAGAGAACAGCATCGAAACATGTATATTATCTATAGTGAAACAGATCACCAGCCCAGGTTGGATGCATGAGACAAGTGCTCGGGCCTGGTGCACTGGGAAGATTCAGAGGGATTGGGTAGAGAGGGAGGTGGGAGGAGGGATCGGGATGGAGAATACATGTAACTCCATGGCTGATTCATGTCAATATATGACAAAAACCAGTACAATATTATAAAGTAATTAGCCTCCAACTAATAAAAATAAATGAAAAAAAAATATGTTGTATATATTTTGTATACATTGGATATATTGTACACATGGAGAAGACAGCAGATATTTTATAGAACTATAAGTGAAGTACAACCCTTTAAAATTATGAATCACTATATTGTACACCTGTACTTTATATATTACACATCTGAGACTCCCTGGTGTTCCAGTGGTTAAATATACACCTGCCAGCGCAGGATCAGACATGTGTTTGATCCCTGGTCTGAGAAGATCCTGCATGCTCATGTAGCAGCTGAGCCCGTGTACCGCAGCCATTGAAGCCTGCGCACCTAGAGCCCATGCTCTGCAACAAGAGAAGCCACTGCGGCGGGAAGCGCTCACACTACAACTAGCGAGTAACCTGTGCTCTCCTCAACTGGAGAATGCCCTTACGCAGCAGTGAGGACCCAGCCAAAATAAATAAATAAATGTGCCCTGCTGTTTGCAGCAACATGGATGGATTTTGAGGGCACTATGCTAAGTAAAACAAGTCAGGGAAAGACAAACACTGTGTTACCATTTTTATGTGCAGTCCAAAAAAATGAGGGAATTCCATGATTGCCCAGTGGTTAGAACCCTGCGCTTTCACTGCCCAGGGTGTGGATTTAATCTCTGATCAGGGAACTAAGATCTTACAAGCCAGGCAGCACAGCCAAAAAAAAAAAAAGGGAAATAAACTCACAGAGAACTGATTGGTGGTTGCTAGAGGTGGGGTTTGGGGGTGAGCGAAATGAATGAAGGTAATCAAAAGGTGCAAACTTCCAGTTATTAGATGACTAAGTCCTTGGGATCTGATGAATAGGATGGTGACGATAGTTAACATGTCTGCTCGGTCACTCAGTCGTGCCGACTCTTTGCAAACCCATGGGTCTGTAAGGCGCCAGTCTCCTCTCTCCATGGTACTTGAAATGGGTGTTTCAAAAAATGGGTGCTTCAAAAAGTATATCTTATGGGTGTTTTTATTCAGAAATTATGTCTGAAATTCAGACTGAAAATGTATTGTTTCTTTTCATATATATTTTGTGTTAAGGTTCCCAGATGTCACGATGATGAGAAGAATAATATTCGCTTAGAACTAATGCAACATGACAGTACAAAAAAGTATCTTCTTTTGTTAGGGAGTGTTCAGGTACATCTTTATGAAGTAATTCAGGTATGTATCAAATCATTTTTTTACCTTGGTATCACATTGTCCAGTTGGTGTTTATTTTCGAGATTTATCTGTACTTAACGGACTCCTTTTGCTTATTATCCGTCTTATGTGCTTAGTAAATTCATGTCTGTAGTAAACAATATTTCCCTTTGGCTCAAAAAAAAAGTTAGCTTGTAACAGCATAATGTTTTTTAAATTTTATTTCCTGGAGGGCAATAAGTAAGTGAAAGTTGTTCAGTTGTGTCCGACTCTTTGTGACCCTATGGACTGTAGCCTGTCCTTGGGGATTCTCCAGGCAAAAATACTGGAATGGGTAGCCATTCCTTTCTCCAGGGGATCTTCCCCACCCAGGGATCAAACCTGGGTCTCAGGCTTTGCAGGCAAATATCTTATCATCTGAGCCACCAGGGAAGCCTCGAAGGGTAATGATACAACCTAAAAGACTAAGCGCGCTTTTTGTTTGTTTTATTTTGTTTTCTGAAATGTTTCAAAACAAGACTCAGACCACAAACTCTCTTAACTGTCAGTTCCAGTTTCAGCTCAGTTCTTTTTTTCCCTAACTTATTTATTTTTTATTGAAGGATAATTACTTTACAGAATTTTGTTTTCTGTCAGACCTCAACATGAATCAGCCATAGATATATCC